AAAGCTGTACCACAGCACAGAGCCCCTTTGCAATCTATTCAGACTGACAGACCATTTCAGTTGGTCTGTATGGACATTACTGAACTTCCGGTTACCTCTCTTGGTAATAGATATGTACTTGTGGTACAGGACCATTTTACCAAGTATGTAAAGGCCTATGCTATGTCTGACCAAAAGGCCGCCACAGTAGGACAGTTACTATGTGAACGGTATATCCCTGAACATGGTGTTCCTGAGAAACTGTTGTCAGATCAGGGACGACAATATGAGTGTGAAATTACTCACACCATTTGTCAGACACTACAGATGACAAAGAAAAGAACCTCTCCATATCACCCAAGAGGGAATGGTATGGTTGAGCGGTTTAATCGGACTTTGAAAGAGCAGTTGGCCCGACTCATTCAGGACTATGGAGGTGAATGGGACCACTACCTCCCTGCTGTGGTACTTTCTTTCAACTCTACTCCTCACTCGAGAACTGGGTACTCACCATATCATGGACGAGAACCCCGACTACCTGCTAATGTCCATATTTCATCGCCAAAGGTTTCTGATTGCCCTATGTACTATGGTTCAAAACTGGCTACACGGATGGACGCTGCTTTTGAGACTGTTCTTCTCCATCGTGAAGGACAAAGACAAAAACGAGAGTACTATTACAACAAAGACACAAGGTTTAGGCCCTATGCTTGTGGTGATCTGGTATGGATAGATGACCCCACCACACAAAGACAAAAGCTTTCCCCAAACTGGACTGGACCATATAAGGTTGTATCTGTGGATGACAAGGGGCTCCTGTACAAGCTGGTGGGTGTGAAATATCCACAGACTTTGATCATAGTCATTCACTATGATTGTTTAAAACCTTACCGTAGCTCCACACACTGATGTCACTCAGCCTGTATTCCCACCAAACAGGGACACACTGCCGAGGTACACCGCTTTGTCTGGTTCATTACCCTGGCTCTTTGGCCAAACAACTGCAGCCCAGGCATCGGAAACTGCTAGGTCGTTGCCATCTTCACTAAGGATTCCAACTGGACTAGATTCCCATCAGCCTGCACAACCACCCCCCAGCTTGCCATCCTCTGGGGTGCAGTGCACCCAGGTGTGGGTGTACTGTTCGGAAGCCATGACGACTGCTGTTATGAGAAAAGAAAATGATCTAGAGTTGTTTTTCATATTAGAGGTTGTAAAACTGGTTCATTTAAAAACAAACATGTTGACAGTTGTTCTTTATGGGGTCTTATTGTGAGTTTGTATCCTTTGTTTTGCAACCCCCAGGTGGTATGAGTTACTGATGATACAGTCTGGACAGATTGTGCTTTGATGAAATTATTATTTTTTTATGTAACCACTTCATTTTGAAATGAGGACATTTCATTTAAAGAGGGGGAAGTATACAAGATAAATTTCCTTTTCAATTAATATGGTTTTATGCAAAATCAGTTATAAAAAAAATCAGGGGTTTTTTTTTATAAGGGCCCAAAACGGGTTCTGGGCTGTTAAAATGGCGGTTGAATAAAAGTATCGACAGCTACGCTATTCCCTCTCAGTGTTCTGCTCTTTCTCCACCCACAACCTCCTTTAATATGGCAACACAGATTTATAGCACATTTTAGCTTTCTCTTTTTTTTCTATTTCCTCCTGCAAGGGCGGCGCCTGTCGGGCTGAGAGGCCTCAGACAACTATCAACCCCAACACCCCCACCACCACTAGCGGAACAAGTCAGCGTCGGGCCGGGGCCCGGGGCCAATTACCGGGCCCCTTACGTGGAGTGAAACTGAAACTGTTGAGGGGGGGGGAGAGGGTGTATTTAACATTAAATACACCCTTCTCAACAGGCGAAGGCACACTTTCTCTGTCTATAATCACATATTTCAATGACTTGAAACCATTCCTCCCTCCCTGGCACCTCCAAGCCCGGGCCCCCATCCGGCCTGGTTTGGGGGCAGCAGCCCCCCCAACCCCTCCTATAGCTCCGCGCCTGCCCACCACCGTGTTGCGTGATGGATGGTTGTAACTGAAACTGCAATTTTGTTGTCTTTGTGACAATGACAATAAAATTTTTCTGATTCTTAGTGTTACATACCTTGTAAATATTGTAATACATGTCCTTTAAAAGCACATGAATAACACTGGATGCTGACCGAAGCTGTTAGGCAACAAGTAGAACAACACCGCTTTCTGGACACTGCGTGGAAATAACTAGATTTTTCTTATTTTATTTCTTTTTTTCCCCTAAAACTTCTGAGAAATAAAACACACAAAATGAAACTACAGGTATGACGGATTTATAAGAAACGTAACATCGATGTGTGCATGAGCATTATCACAAGGTATGCTGGATTTACGTTAGCTCCGCTCCCCCAACCAGCGATCTAAGGCTCACTTAGGGTCTAAGTAAGTGAACCTCCGAGCGCTTGAGGACGGCTGGCCGAAATTAGCGTTCATAAATCGGATCAACCTTGAGCTAAACGCCGCTTACACGTGGAGCGTCAATATCCAATTTGAAGCTAACTTCACTGTGGTATCAACGCATGCGCGATCTGATCTCCAAATTATGCCCCGCCTCTTCCGTGACAACTCTCACGCATTCAAAAAAATAGTCTTTCACACAGACAAATAACAGGTCTCATCCCCATTCATTCATTCCATTCAGCTTAGTGTTATTTCACACACACATACATTTTCGACCTATCATTCAGATCAGTGTCTGTATGTTTTGCGTGTGTGTGTGAGAGAGAGAAAAATTGTATGTGTGTGACATTTTAATAGTATATATGTGCAATTTTAATATTTTGTGTGTGTATGAGTTTTTAGTAGTGTGTGAGACAAAACATAGTTTTTGTCCTAAACCGCCCCTCATAGTAACAAGCAGGCAATAGAAACAAAATGGCCCAAACATGTTATCACTTTATCTAGTCCAGAAGACTTCAAATTTCTTTACACTACAATCAGTCGCTCACTCTTTTATGCACACCTGATGGTACACTGCTGGTGTTAGGCTGTGTGTTAGTCACGTCTGCTCTAACTGTCAGTGTACGATCAGCGCCACTGGGCCCTCTGATCACCACCAGCAAGAAAACATAGATACACAGTATACAAATATGTTTGTATGTCAAAGTACATTAAAGTACTGAACTGTAGTTCAAACTTCACATTCATTTTAGTAGCTCAAATTATGTCTTAATACACAACATTACCTTAAATCTAAAGAGGTAAACCACCAAATTAGTACCAGCCTTTGGTTCCCTTGTGCCCCATCAGTCTTCTGAAGGTTAAGTATTTATGCCACAAAAGGCCTAAATAGGCCACGAAGCCAAATACATCCATCACACACTCAGACATATACTCGGGCCTGCTACTAGATCTTTTTAAGAGCCTATTTATCTCTGTTACTTTCCTGTAAAACTCATCAAACATAAAAGTACCCTACCTTTGCTGGTTGGAGTGCTGATCTGTGTAAAGGAAAGAATCCACTAAATTTCACTTAGTCTCTCCAAAATCAGGGAACTATCAGCTTTGAGCTCATGTAAGGCAATTGTTTTTCCATGTGCTGCTCACACAGTTTTCCCACACAAAAACAGGTGGGGCAGGGCGGTAGACAGGTGAGTCTGGCAACGGTTCAGTTGTGACTACACCTCTATACTTCTGCATCAAACTCTGGCAGAACTGAAAGTGCTCTTTCATGGCTTCAGACTTATCACACGAGAACTTGCTAAATATTTTTCCTGGCCTTATAATAATGGGACGCTATAGTTTAACACAAAGTATTTTGCTGAGTTGATTTACACAAAAAAAAAAAAAAAAAAAAAAAAATTCCCACTCTATGAAAAACTTTGGGTGAAAACCATCTGCCAACACAACACACAAGATTTAATAAGAGTCAACAGTCCATATGTACACATAAAAATAAGCAATTTTCATTTTGGAAAAATTATGTTAAACACTGAAAAAAATCTCTTCATCAACCAGCTCAAAATCCAAGATACCTGCAGATCACACAAAACGTGCTATGTTAAAGAACTATTTACTACTGACTTTGACAGCATTTCAATAAATGTCACAAAACTTGTAACAGACATTTACACATTTAATAAGGACATTTGAATGAAAAAAATGGTGGGAGGCAATTTGTTATCAAATTATTCAATTGCAGTAAACCTGACTGCTGCACAAACAATTACTGATTTCTGCAGGTTCACTGATTTGCAGGTGAATAATAGAGAAATTGGGTGTGACAGTTCTCTCTTTGAAACCAAGTTGAAGAGAATAAGCTGGACAAATACAAGGGAAAATGGAACACACCACAAATATGCTAAGTGTATAAAAAATAGTGTCATATTTATACAATTAGGCCTAATTTTAAATGTTTCTCTGAATTGAGATATTGAAGGTTAGATTAGTTCTCAACTATGTTTGCCTTTATAATGAAACAAATATCTTCTTTGCTTAAACTTTGGTTAGCTATTTACTTACAGAACAAGCTAAAGATTGTAATCTGACTTTTAAAAAAGCATCGGTACAACTTTCACCTCCAAAGGACCAAAGGACGCACAGTGGAGTAGCGTGGAACTCACACCAAGAAACAAGCAGTTTCCTCCAAGAAACCTCAGAGCCTAAGGAAGTAGGGCGGGGACGGGGTGCTTAGTTTGGCTTTTTAGAAAATAGTGGATCAACACTTCAGCTTTTCCAGGCTTGAAAGTTTTAGACAAAACATAAATAAGTTCAATCGCAGCAGCTTCGTCTGTGTGTGTGTGTGTGTGTGTGTGGGGGGGGGGGGGGGAGGGGGGTAAATGACTCGCGAGAAGTCAACCATGTTTATAGCCTGGAACTGGAGGTTTTTATCTGGTTCTTTTTTATGTTCGTTTGCTTGTCTGTTTGTTTTGATGCCTACAAAGTAAGTAGCCTAACCCTTTCAGGAAATCGTTGGCATACCAACGGAAGCAGCACGTTATTTAAGCAGTGCACTAGGTCTGTGGACAGTTTGAATTTACCTTTTTGTAAAGCTGCTTCCGTCTTCTTTCCTTGAAGCTACACGAACATCTTTTTTCTAGTTCTTCCCCTCGAATCCTGTGTCCCCGTTTACAGGGTCACTGCTTCGTGACCAAATAGTTCGTCCTCGCTGAAAACTGTACTTGGAAAGTTGAAGAAAAAAAAGTGGAGCAATAGGCGGCAGGAAGCCGTCCCAGACTGTTCTGCACAACAGGAGAAATTTCCAGCCTCCCCCCTCCTCAAAGACCTCCTACGTCTTTAAAATACTTTTTTTAATCTCTCTTTATTTGTGCTCGGAAATCCCTCATCTCATCTTGCAGTTTCCCATGCGTTTTATGTTCAAATCAACTTAATTCTTAATTCCTACATGCTATTCTAAACGATCACATTACACACTTCACCAATAGAAAAGAAAAACTTGAATGTTGAATGAAATCAGTTTTTAAAGAAAAACTATTAAATATTTGCCACACTCTGGCATGCTTCGGAAGTTGTTTCGTTTTTCTAAGAACATAATAGTCTACAAGAGTCCATCTGCTCATTACGTGGCAAAGCTCTGAACTTAGAACAGAAAGAAGGAACTAAAACTGAAGAAAGGAAAAAATGACAAAGACCCTTTGTAAAATGATCTGTTGCTGCTTTCAAATGCCGTCGGACAGAGGAAAGTCGCTGCGTGCACATGTCAAGTAAAATGTGGTTGCTGATACTGAGTTCCTGATAACCTTTAATAATTAGTTTCGTTCAGCTGGTTACAGCTGATACATGATATGCATGAAATATATCACATTCCCATTTGTGTGACCAAATAGAACGTCCTTAATGCAAACAGTTTTAATCAATATGAGATGTAACATTTTCATTTTGAAATTAGGTAAACTGGGCAGGACAGTGTCTTTACTGTGTGTACACTCTATTTCTGACTCAATTATTGCATGAAAACGTTTTGTGTCTTTATTCATTTTTTTAATGAAGTACTCTGCAAATTAGTTTAATTTTCTATTAAAGATTTGATGCTTTACATTTCCAGACTGACAATAATGAAAATCTTTTGTGAAAATCATACAGTAAAATAACTCGGTAATCTTCCTTTTAAGTCTAAAAGCTGGAAAGGACATCAGATAAAATTCCTCAGCAGTAGGTGAATCATAGGAACTCTCCAGTTCTGTCACAGCTTCATGCATGTGGGGAGAGTATAAAAATGAAGATATTACAATGAACTACATCCTGCAAAAGAATAAATTGCTTGAGAACTACCCTACTCACATTAAATATCAACAGATTAAAGCATACATCTTACTGAAAATGGCATAGTTTCCATTATATTTTGCAGTGTTTTTAGAACACAATTCAATTAATATCTTGATTTTATTTTTCTCAACAATTTCAATAAATTCTCAATTCAGCTCATTTTGGTGAATTAACATTTTTAAATCCAAAGAAAAGCTAAAAGTCTTACGTTATCAAGACATGGTCAGAGACATGCTACACTGCATAAGATGCCTGTATGAAAGGCTGATGATACATTTAAGTGCTGTCTACATGTATATGAACTCCAAATGGAGAACAGATAAACATATAGAAACAATAAACATATTGATTTTGAAAAAAATAAATATTTAAATTGTATTCCATAATTTAAGAGAAAGGCTTTTTAAATTAAATTAGGATTAGAACATGCCTTTTATTTTTGGTTAACACATTAAAATAATAATAAAAAAAATCAACTCATTGATCATTTTTGGCTTATATAGTTCTCCCTCATTTCCAATAGCATGTGGACTTTGCAGCCACAGTAAACCTCTCAGGTCTTTAGATCCTATGTACCCTGTGCTCCCAGGACCAAGACTAAACAAAGCGAGGCAGGATTTAGTTTTTATACTCTACGCCTATTGAACAAACTTCTGTAAAAACAAAGATGTGCAGAAAAAGTTGCTTCCTTTTACTTAGAACTATAAACCTTTTTGTTTCTAGCAGTTTTGATCAAAGAATTTCACTGATCAACAGTTTGCTTATTTAAAGCGTGAGGTTCAAGACTAGATGTGAATTTCATATATTCAAAATTAAATTTTGGTCTAAATTCACAGTATCAGCTCCATTATCGTTTCCAGTAGTAATAGCTCCATTAGCGCTGCTTGTCTCTGGCGTTTCTCCCAGAGCCTGTAGCGCTGTGTCCGGTTCGGCAACATCTGTGCTGTTTGGAGTTCAGCGGTGGTAGCAGCGACACCGGACTTTACCACCGACACCAGACCTCCATGGGTCCGGTCGGATCAGTGATGTCCGGTACCACAGGCAGCATATATCCTTGTTAGCATCTCATTGAGCCAGACACTCAAAGAACATTTAGTTTTAGCTTGTTAAGGTAAAGATCACCTGTATAACCTTTGTTAGTTCTGCTGGTATAAATGACTCAAAGTGTTGTGGAGAAATGCCCATGATCCAGATTAGGTCCTTCGGAAGTTGTGTTCCACTCCAGCTCTCCCACTGCGCTCTCCTTTCTTTCATGTGGGAAATTACAGATTTGCCTGAATTTTTATTTTTTATCCCAACCAATAGTGACACAGTGTGGCATTATCTAAAATTACACCAGTCAAATGCAATATGATAAACAACTACTCGGGGAAAAGTTAGCCTTCCTGTGTTTATTCTGTAGACTCCAATACAGAATAGACCATTGAGTGTCATCAATCCATCAGTGAAAAAATTGTGACCTCCATGGGTGAAATATATAAAAGATGTACATTTTTTAAGTAATTATGAGTTTTTGCATATCACAAACTGCAATTTTTTAGGTAATAGGAAAATTGCAACATATTTAGGCCAACATCTTCAACTAGTCGTGGATCCTTTTAAACACTAAGCATGAGAGGAAAGAGGCTTTGGTTAGAATACTGCCATCAATGACAATAAAACAACTACTTTAATTCAACTTTTAATATGCATATAGATCATAAACCATTATAATTAATAGTTCATGTAGAGGTTACTGCTCTCTGATTCACTCCAGCTGAAACTTTTCACTTCTCCGTGGCTTCCGTTTCACTTGGCAGTGTAGATTCTTGTTAAACTGGATTCCGTGTGACTAACTTCTTTTAAGCTGGAAATAAAAAAACAGGAAAGTGGGTGAGGCAATTCAGGATATTTATAATTATTTAAATGATTAAAATTTCTGGGTGGCAATGGTGCAGGGATAAAGTGCTGTTGAGGACTGAGTTCCAGACTTGACCTTTGCTACATGTTTTCCTCCTCTCTCACAACCCGCTTTCCTGTCTGACCACTGTCAATCAAATAAAGCAGGGGTCCCCAAACTACGGCCCACGGGTCGGATCCGGCCCGCCATGTCATTTGGTCCGGCCCCCTGAACAATGCCGGATC